TTAAGGTTATATGGCGAAAATCGATGGACATTTACTTTTACCATACAGACGAAACAAGGTTTATTAAAACGTGTTCAAGAGGCTCCAAATGTAAAAGGGTTAACCAATCGTGTATCCAATAGGTTTCATAGAACGATGCTTCATAAGTGCTCTTAAATTGGAAACAGTTGTCCTGGATAAGCTTCAAAGAAATTGAAATATGGATTTTTAAAATAATAATTCCCTGGTGGAATAATTCACGTTTATCTTTTCAGATAGATATTTCGAAAAACTTAGATGTATAATATTTACTTGACAATTAGGAACCTGCTTCTGTTACCTAGTTGATGCGTCATAGTTTAAAATATGTCGCGATTAAGTTTTTTGTACTTCCGATGAAAACGATACATGTTAAATTTTGAATACCGTAGTTGTGGAAACATTACTTGGCTCTTCTGTATATCAGCAGCTGGATGACGAGCTTTCTTGATGAACATTTACTCTAAGGAATACCACCTCTGGATTCCTTGTTAGAATGACTGAAATAGTTCCCATTATAGTTCTTAGAATTCTTGGTTGTTTTTGACAAATTATGGGGAGTCCCTTTCTCGTATTAGCATAACATTCCTCAATTTATTCGAGGTAGCCTCACCTAACTGATCCGTAGGTTAACTGCACATAGGCATTTGTGTTAATTGGGATTAAGTTCATGTTGCGTCACGTCCATTAGATAGCAGTTGATTGGACCGGGCATCAGGTGGAAGCTGTTTGCTGCAATTATTATTTATTTCATGGGCTAAAGTCTGAAGATGGTTGTTTGACTAGTCTTGATGTCAGATATGATAAATTGTACCAAGTATAGGCTAGGCCCATGACAGATATAATAACATATATAAAAAGAACAAGTTAACCTGTGATATAAAATTATTAAGGTCAACCGATAACCGATAACACTCACACGATGAGGCTGCTCATTTATATGAGAACGCCCTACAGAAAGGAGAAAATTAATTTTCTTTAATAATTAGAGACTTGAACGCAAAGATTGGAAGCAATCAATACCCAAGGAGAAACAATGATAGCCCAGCACGGACTAGGCAACAGAAACGATATCTTTTTCAAAAAGCATGCAAACAAGAAATAAAGAACGCGATAAACTTCATCACAAAAAATTTAATATCTATACGAAGAATTAAGAGAAAATAAGAAAAATTCAAATACAGAGGACGTCAAAAAAGTTCACACATGTATCTGATCTGAAAGTCTTTATAAAAGACGTATTTTAGCGTCCAGTGAATATCATACTACACATACTTCGATTCATGACGTCATAGTTACCCAAATGAGAGGTGGAGTATATTTGACAAAGGGTCTAGAAGAGGACGCCATGATCGTTGTTTATTTGGGTTTGTTGAATTTTGCAAAATTTTGCGTTTTCGAGTTTCAATTGTTACAAATAAATTTACTTATTTGTACTTTAAGACAAGATAAACAAAATAATTTTCTAGATTTTCCCCAAATAGATAAATCTTCCTTTTATAAGTTAAGGTAGCTACTATAGGTACCACAAGATAAAACTGAGAGTGAAATTAATTAGATCCAGGAATTGTCAAAATTCTGAGATATTGTAATTAAAACCCTTTTTTAAATGAATTTTTGACATATCCGGATTTCTATTTTAAAAATTACACCTTTTTTTTCAGCACTCTCCTTCTCGAGAAGAAAATGAGAGAGTCAAACAATAAATGGCTATACAGGCCTCTGCCTGGATTCAAGAAAATGTTGATAAGGATGGACACACAAATTTGGTTTGCACCGACTCTACTTAGAGCAAATGGTCCAATAATCCTACACTAAGAATTGATTCTGAAAACCAGAGCAGCAGTACCTATTTATTAGCCAAAACTCTGAATTGACTCACCTCAGAAAAACGTGGGACCACCAATCACAAAATGGAGGCACACAATTAAATAAAAAAATTAAAATATAATATTTATATTTAAAAGGTAGATAAGATAAGATTTATCAGGTAAAAACTAAAAAGTGATATGATAGTATACACTGATGGTAAAATAAATTGGAAAATATTAAGGGAAAAACTAGAAATCTGAAGAAAAAAATTACAAAAAATTAAATCGACTCGCCTGTTTAGTGGTTCTGCCAGGAAAGAGACCGTTTTAGAACCAAAAACCTGTAGGAAAGCAATCTTGCTTTTTTTTATACTCAACTGCGTAGTAACCATCGACCAATCAGAAGACAACACTCAACACACACAAAAGACCGTGCTCACTTCATCAATAAAAAACCACGTTGATTAAAAGGGAATAGATAAAAGCATACTAGAATTATTTTAATTGTTTACAAATTACAATAATTTAAATTAAAGTTATGTTGAAAATAGAAAACCACTAATTAATTAGGTCATTAAGCCAAAAATAATTATTTTAGAATCAGAAGTTGGAGAAAGACAGAAATATATCTATTTGCTAAAAGTAAGATAAATATAAGTTCTTTAAATGAAAATACGAATGACTGTCAATGAGAAATAATCAAAATCATATTTTAAAAAATAAATTTATCAGGTACTAGATGGCGGTACCTTCTTTTAATAACAGATATTTGCATTTTTATGCTCATTATGGATAGATGGCAGTACTGATATTACATTGAATTAATTAAATTTTGTAGATACTTTTAAATTACTTAAATTATGGATTATTATTTTGCTGATTCTGAAATGACAAAAATACAACTTTATAATGAAAAGTAGAAGAAATGGAACATATTACGTGAATGATAAATTTATCGTAACATACCCCTTTTAGTTGGTTAAAAAAAAAGAGAAAAAAAAAATAAATAAATAAATAAATAAATATTCCCTTTCAATGATGTTTCATTGTGTATTGAAGCAAACAAGGCACTTCAGTGTGGCTCAGATAAAATTATGGTACTGAAAATGTTAACAATTAACAATATGAAAACTGTTAGTCATTTGGTTCTACGTTTAATTTAATGAGAAAGGATAATTATAAGAGAAAATTATGTATGTATTAGAGATATAAAAAATAAAAGGAAAAGATAATTTGGGCGCCAGTATATTTTCTAATGTACAAAAAAAAATTGAACTGTACTTTAAAAAAAACAAATCTAGAGACAAAATCTGCAGAGAAAATTCGGCAAAAGGTGTCTGTTAATATTTTAAAATTGATACAGCGCCCCATGTTGGGCGCCAATTTTTTACAAATAAATTTAGTTATTTGTACTTTAAGACAAGAGAACCTATAGGGTCGTGGAATTCAAAAATAAAGATAACGTGTAGCCCCTTTATGTGTAAATGAAACCACTCAAAACTACACTTTTGTGCAGAACTGAAGATTTTTTTTTTTTGCAAAAAAGCTCTTAAAAAAATGACAGAAAACAATGGCAAAATGGGGAAAAACAATCATCTATTTATAATAGAAAGAACTGTGTCGGTATCCGTAGTCAGCTATTTGGCCCATATGCTCAAGATACACTGATATACTACAACCAGTAACTATCCCTCGTAGGATGTTTACAGTCAAGTTTTATGTTGTGACTTCATAGTATGTCAGCCATGATCGCTATAATATAGTATCACAAGTAAATACAACATACTACTGGGTTAAAACTCGCGCTAAAATACGCCTATAAAAATATGATGGAGAAGATGTCGGCAAATTGGTGCGCTTTCGCTTAATTTATTCGTCACACTGTTGCAAAGCATGCTAAATGATCTGAGCTGGAGGTTTCATTTTATTTTTCTCGATGACGTCGTCCAAAAAGCACAGCTTATGACCCTAATGGCCGGTTTATTCACCATCTGATCAACTGTCAGAAAATGTTGGAGGTTAAACTGATAAACCACTTAGTTCATGAGATGAACATAGGGTGAGGCGATCCAAATCGGACATCCCAAAAATATTTGCAAAGTCAAAGTACCGCTAATGCAACCCAATATGGAAAGGTCAATGTTGGGAAACACCATTAAAAACAGATTTCCAAGCCGTGAAATAAGACAAAATATAGGAGTACGAGAGGCATTCAATGCCTAAAAAGAAACTGAACATTTCTTCAGCATACGGGATAATGGGTGATCGAGGAGGCTCCCCAACATAGAGAAACTATCTGGAAACTGGATACCGGATGCTTAGGATAGAATTAGAATGGCTTTTCGTCCGTCATTGGATAGGATCACCCGCCGATGATCATGATGATGATGAAAAACTTGCTTCCGAAAATGTTTTTTAAATTCTTATTGAATAAGTTCCTCAAATGGTTGAACCTGGTCCATTACACCAAATAAGATATTCCCTCCAATTTTGTTTCGTATTTAATAAAAATTAAACTGTGGATGTAGAGCCAACAAAATATCTAACTTTACACGCCATAACAAAACTCTATAAATAGCTTTCTAGATGGGAGAATCCGGTTAGGGTTATGCTTGTTTTTTTTTTTTTTTTTTTTCTTCAAATAACGTTTATCGTCAATATGGCCTATAGTTTTAAAATATAATCCTAAATAAGATTTAACAACGTTATTTCCACTAATTTTAGCATCCCCTGATCTATCCGCTTCGAGCCAGGGATCAAAATTCACATAAATGTATGTGTGCAAGTCAATCCAATTTAAAAGCGTCTCAAATTACAAAGTGTCAAGCTACCAATCATAGCCGGTGTGCGGGCGAGCGCAAATCATGTTTCCAAGAAATAGGTCAATCCTTTTTCTGGGTTTTCTTGGCTAGCTAATGTAATTACCTTGTAAACAATTTTGGCCTCTAAGTGCTTTGCAAGGTTTTTTTCCTTGTTAGAATTGAGGAGATTGTGGTTTAGATTATACGAAATCTGCCAGAGTAAAAGCTAATATTTTTGTTTAATATATCTTTTTTATTTTCAGGTTGTTCCAGCACCAAAAACTCGATTAGTTTTGATCAACCGCCCGTACTATCCAAAATGCGGCCACCCGCCTCCCGGTCGTACCCGTAACTGTCCAGCGAACCGCCCATGACCGCTGTGCACCGCATCGCTGTTGCCGCCGCCTCCGGCCCAATGGAAGTTAAACACGACTTAGTGTATCGCGCCGACGGTACGGCGCATGTCGTTAGCGAAGACGACGTACTATTAATCAAGGCCGAACCTATGGTTACCGGACCTGGCACTGTTGTTATACAATCGGTATGTTTCCTCATCAAATATATCACAAAAAAAAAATATCGTGATAATTTTCTTTTTCAGAATGGCCTGGTATCCGTTTCTACCTCAGCTGGTACTATACTAGCGCAACAACAGCAACAAATCAACAACGGTAACCTTTCCAATGGCCCTTTTAGTGGTTTGGGGAATAACTCAGGATCCCCAGCTTCGTCGAAACCTCGTAGGCCTGCGGCCCCTGACAACGACTGGCTGAGTTCTCCAAGTCCAAGTGGTGGGGCACCTTCGCTCACGCCTTCACCAGGTCCACCCTCGCACGCTTTCACTGTTATCAGTAATGGTTACTCTTCGCCTCTGTCCAGTGGAAGCTACGATCCATATAGTCCAAATGGAAAAATAGGTGAGTGATTTATTTGTTGGAAAATAACCAATATGGCAAGGAACTTTATATCACAAGTAGTGTCATTTTATGCCACACCGAGTGGACTAATTGTTGCCAACCCTGATTCACTCGACATTTTGGGTGGTGAGTGTTAGTCGGGTTGACTCTCAAAAATTACTTTTTAAAATAGAAATACAGTGACTACTTTTATTCCTTCTACTAGGGATTCCGTTTCCTTTTGAATTTGACATTTGGAATTTAATGATGACAGTGACCAGATGCCTGTTCGATTACGATTATCTAGGAAACGGATTCAAATGCGGAATATGATTGGCCACAGTCCGCGAACAACTAACTAAGCTCAACTAACCCAACTCATTTCAATAACATCGATACCTACATGATACATGTGCACTATTAAATGTTGTGTTTGGTGTGCGTTTAAAAAAAAATTTAATTTCAAATCGCTTGCCTTCTAACCATAGAATATTATCTTTTCTATTGAGCTATTATAATTTTTAACATGCATCTGAGGTAGATTAGTAGTTATATGTATTCTATGAGAGGCGTGGAATTAGAAAAATTTTACTAGGCGATAAGAACCGTTCCACGAGTGTAGAATTTTGAATTCCGCACGTGTTTTAGACTTTTTGTTAAACTATCAATTCAAAACAATAGTCATTCGAAAAAATAAATAATAAACAAACTCCGCTCTTCTTTCTTCAAATTATTTTCCAGAATAATTTTTTTCTTTATCGCATTCACGTGACACAAGCGAAGCCCACAGTCGGTTAATCGCAGTGGCGCACCCAGGTTTTTTATTTGGGGGGGGGGGGGGGGTTTCATAATGATGAAGGCCAGCCGAAATATTGCAGTAACTTTTTTTTAAGAAATATTTCTATGTATAAAAAAGTAAATTAAAAGGCCAATACCAATAGTTAGGATAATTCTCCTTTTTAAGGATTTAGGTTAGGTTAAGTTAGGTTAGGTAGGAAAATTCTTTGTACTAGTGCTAAATTTCGGGGGGGGGGGGGGTTTCAACCCCCAAAACCCCCCCTTGGGTGCGCCACTGGTTAATCGGGCAACCTACTTGAATAATAGAAATAGAAATCTAGAGTTTCCTTTCTTTGTTTTTTCCATCCGCAGACTCGTTTCGCTTTTATTAGGGATCGTCAATGCGGCTTAGGAAAAGCCAATAAAGGACACTCAGGCTCGTGTATGACCACATAATCGATTTTGTGTGGACTAATGTGCAGTCCGCGTACCAATCTATCCAACATAGAAACAACGATCTGATATACCCACTAGACTCTTCCATATAATATGAGGGATTGAGTAATCTCGAGGTAGAATGAATTTCAATGAAGCCAATGGCTTCACTATTTGACCCAAACTGAAGAGTTCTTGCTATCCAGGTTGCTGTCTATTTGCTAGCCAGTTATGCATCACTTTCGATTCATTGTAAGCATTTTGTTTTTTTTTTCAAATTCTTCTTTGCGAATACCCCTATTGACCATTATCTGTTGAACAAGTCCAGAGTGTTTGACTGCCTCCATTTCCGCTTACCTTTGGCATTTTTGGCAACATTCGCAAGAGTTGTCAATACAAAGTGCTCGTGATAAGATAAAGTATGAGCGTTGCCATAACTTCTTCCTTCGCGATGTTTGATTTAGAAGTCGTAGCTTTGTAATTTCTTCAACCATGGCGATTCTACTTGAGAACTTCCGTCCATAGAGAAAACAATGAAAATTGCCACTGCCAGAAGATGTTTTCGGGTGACACAATAATAAATAAAGTAAATTTTAAAGAATTTACTAAAACATCTGAATACAGCTTTTTCGCCATTTTGCATTTGGAAGAGTACAGCTCACTTTGCTAAACGTCGGTGTTCTGCGTTCCAGCTCCATGAAACATCGTTGATCGTCGTATTTAATCACAGTGAGCGTTCTACTTAGTTAGCGGCTAACGGCTTTGCAATCTTCTCAAATTCCTTGATAAACCGGCAGTAGTATCTGCAGTGTCCTAGGAAGCTCCTGACTTTATGTTTGTTTGTTAGTGTGGCCCAATTTCGTATTGCTTGGAGTTTTCCTGGGTCTATCTCCATGTCTTTTGAAAAAATGGACATGTCCGCGAAAGTTTTCTTTCTCCTGGAATATAACTCCTTTCTTTGGATTCAATTGTAGCCATTTCGAGGCCTGGCAAAAACTCCAAATTCGACAGAATTTTTTCGTAATCTTTGCCAACCACCTTGACATTATCCAAGTAAACGACAACAGCCGATGATAATCGGCGGATTCTTCAGAAAATATTTTTCAAATTCTAATTGAAAAAATTCCTCAAATGGTTGAACCTGGTCCATTACACCAAATAAGATATTCCCTCCAATTTTGTCTCGTATTTGATAAAAAATTAAACTGTGGATGTAGACCCAGCAAAAGATCTAACTTTACACGTCATAACAAAACTCTATAAATAGCTTTCTAGATGGGAGAATCCGGTTGGGGTGATGCTTGTTTTTTTTTTTCTTCAAATAACGTTTATCGTCAATATGGCCTAGTTTTAAAACATAATCCTGAATAAGATTTAACAACGTTATTTCCACTTATTTTAGCATCCCCTGATCTATCCGCTTCGAGCCATACATAGTGTCAAGCTACCTTTCTTTCTCCTGGAATATAACTCCTTTCTTTGGATTCAATTGTAGCCATTTCGAGGCCTGGCAAAAACTCCAAATTCGACAGAATTTTGTCGTAATCTTTGCCAACCACCTTGACATTATCCAAGTAAAGACAACAGTCTCGCAAAAGTGGCAAATGTATCTACTGCCTAATTCAAACCGCAACTTTAAATTATTGATGGAAGTAATTTTCTTCTTTCTTGCGTTCCACCCACCGATCTCAAAAATAAATGGATAAACAATCGTACGGCTTAATTGACTAAATTTCTGCGAAAATTTGGGGTCAATATTCTACGAACAGTTGTGCAACGCAACAGCCTAACGCCTGCGCAGTGTCTTATCTTTCGAACAACTGTTCTAAATATTGAAATATCCTTCATTTTCATTGACAATGGTCGCGTTGACCAGCATTCAACATGTTGAGTGATTAGTCAGCGGCCTTGTTGAAAACAGATGAAAATCAGCTCTAGGCCATTCAAAACTGTTCTACCTTGTGTATTCCACTTGTTGGAACAAACTAGCTTACTAATCACTCAACATGTTGAGTGCTGATGAACGCGACCAATATTTTGCGCACGCACAGTACACTTGGCCAATAATAAAACTGGTACATGCATTTTCATATTGTGTTGAATTGTGTAAATCGACCTTCTTCATCACCTAAACAATGACAAAAAGAGTCAAGTAAATGTCATATTTAAACCAATCATAACATAAAAACATGTTGCATTTACTTTTGTTCAGCTATGACGTTGACAAAAACTGTCTGACCTAAGTTTTTCAGAAGAGACTTTTTGCTGTTAAGCCTGACTCACACTAGGCTAATTTAAAAAATATATATTGCCTGTACCAGTTTTTTGTTTGGCCAAGTGTACATGTATCTACTGCGCACGCTCAAAGCTGTCCCAGTTGTTAACATTAGTCGTAAATGAGCAGCATTAAAAGCGTTCTTTGTTTAGCCATTTATTTTTGAGATCAGTGGTTTCACCTGCCAATATCCACTTTATAATTGTAGAGTTGGATCCTGATAGGGGTTAAGGGTATCGTCAATCCGTTGTAATCGCTAGCTGTATTTTTTCGCAACGACATCCTGCCTTTCTTACAGAACCTCGTGGAACCATCTTTTTTGTGACTATAGTACGACGGCGATGACAGTGGACTCGTAGATTCTTCTATGACGTCACTTCAATCGTTGCTTGAAATATGGAGTTAACTTGGTATTGCTTTACAAAAAAAAGTCTTCGTGGTGGTAAGCGAATAATAGGTGTTGCACTCCATGTGTTGATAAGATTGGTTTCTGCAGTAATTTTATCATGCATATAAATATCAGCCTCTTCTTTCACAAAATCAATGGCTTTCTCCATTTCTGGACTAAATAATTCGAATTATTTTTGAAATTCTCCATAAGTTCTAGACATGAGTGTGGCCCATTTGACACAGGCACAGATCACCTATTTACAAATGCGTAAGTAAGGGACCTTGCTGTCGATTCAAAAGCTACGAAACCTCGCTCTTACCTCTAGGGGGCCGGCCGCTTGTCGAATAGTACGGAGGTCCGCGTCACAGATCACCTACATGCAGATTGCAGATGCGAAAGAGCGGTGAATTCGTGGTTCAAGGTTATACGTAAACACAACAGGCTGGAACACGCTCACGCACTATAAATGATCGGCCGCGTTAGTGGCAAGGGAGCCGGCTGCCCTGGTTTCGTAGCTTTGAATCGTCGACGGCAAGGATACTCACTTACGCATCTGTATTTAGGTGATCTGTGACACAGGCTCCTTTGCGCATCTCACTACTCGGATAGCTGCTGTACATCTATAAGTCTGTTGTCATAAAATTTGCAACACAGTTTGCAAACTTTCAGAAAGTATCGCCCGGTAACTTAGCGATTGTGTCAGACACTTTTGTGAGAACAGACCTTATAAGATGACCAGCTCCCTGTTCTTCAATGTTGTTAGATTGGCTACCATGGAAGAAAATTGGGAAAAAAGTGGAAGAATATTGTTGAAGTTGGCTAAACACTATGTGCACAAGGGTGCCATTCTGCCTGTTTTCACACCATTACCATGGTGTGCACGTCATTCACGCCTTGTATCTGGCTTTCTAGGTGTGCCTTCAAGATTTTCTCACTAAATTTATTAAAGCTGACACGACGATTATAAAAATACTATCACTGGCCGTAGTGCCGGTGTGATTTTTATGAAAATCTGATTGCTGGGTAAAAATAATGTTATGAGCCTTATCTTTCTCCAATATCCCAGAGAGCGCACATTATATGCTGATGTGCATCAAGTTGTTGGATTCTTCTGGAAGCATAACTTTTAGAAGACATGAGTAGAACTGGAACTTAGAATTTGTGTCATGGCCGGTAATACCATGAGACAGCCAAAAAGTAGCATACTGAAAAATAATCTGGTCCGGTAGATTTGGATCTTACAGAAAAAAAAAAATTGTAAGAAGTTTTCTCATATTTTATAGTGCTCAAGTTGAAAATGAGTATCAGCAATGCTTCCGTTATCGTTAGGAAATTTATCTTTTGCTTCCTTTCATATTCATATAATATACTTTGATCTAAGTCGTCGTTTCACCAGACGCGATTATGTCATCCTCTTCTGCGGTAATGCTGACGCTTTCATGGGTAAAACAATCA